AGTGTCGAAATCTTTTAATTCTTTATTGGCTAGGTTTAGTTAAATTGCCATAAACTGGACCCCTCTCCCCAACGGACATTTGATCCCATTGCCTCTGCATGCTCTGGAAGTCTATTATTCCCAGAAGTAGCTAGGTCTCTCGAGCACGCACACCTCGCGTCACATTTTACTTTTCATTTTCGATGATAGGTCTGCACCTAATCAATTCCAACAAATATTAGCAAAATGTTCAAAAAGGTTATTAACAATTTATACAAAAGAATGAATTTCCAAAAATCTACGAGGGTTGTCTTAAAAATAAGGTTCCCACATTTTTTTCAGGCACACGGAATTTTTTATTTGAAAAATGTATTTACCATTAGAAACGTTGATCCTTCAGCTGTTTTTCTACATAATCTCCATTTTTTCTACGCATTTTTTTTGACGTGAGAACCACTTTTTCACTCCCGCCTCAAAACTGATATATGACAAGTCCCCTGTTAGGCGAGGAGAAAATCTCGCGTTCATGGGAGAAATTTTCCGAATCTATTTTTTTCATAATCACGTTTGTTGGATGCCGGGTGGTCACCCGGTGCAAATTTGTTTAAAAAATTGAATCGGTCGTTTCAAAAAGTTACACAGAATTTGGATTTATCAGGCGATAATAAGCTATTTTTCTACATATTCGCCATTTTTCTACGCATTTATTAGACGTGGAATCCACTTTTTCACTCGCGCCTCAAGAAAGTCCTCCGTCAGCCGTATTGGAAACTTGGTAACTGCTCCTTGCAACTCCTCGTCCGTCTCGAACCGTTGACCGCCTAGGTCCTTCGTTTGTTGTGAGACATGCGGATGCGCATTGTGATGTAATCTTACGCTTTTCAGAAGCCTCAGGAATTTCAACCGCCTGTTCCCGGATCGTGATTCGCCGATCTTCGAGCAAGATTTGCTCAATCATCACCATAACCTCCTCGGAGATCGACGGCCTCCCGCTTCGTTGTTCATCTTAGATGCCCATGCGACCGTCAAAGATCTCTCTCCACCATTTGAGGACATGTTTAATGCTTACACACGTTTCCCATGTATACTTCAATCAACTGGCGATGAATTTCTATGGGTTGTAACGTTTTTGCGTGCAAAAATCAGATGACCGCACGAATTTCGCACCTGGCGGTGACAGCGATGAAGGGCTCCATTGCGCATGGCTGTCAGGCGTCAGGCCGGTACTGAGAGTCACCAGTAGGCGCTTCTTATTGGGATGGGTGGTGGAGAAGCCGAAAACACGACTCTGTTGCCACATTTCGCCTAGTATTACGCGCGGCAAAGTTACAGCGTTGGGAACCTTATTTTTGAGACAACCCTCGTATTTACTGTCATATGTTTATTCAAAATTCAAATTCAAATAATTTATTCAAATAATTATTACATTGACAGGCTCTAGGAATGTTAGACGAGGATACGATGAATTTTAAAATTTGTGTGTATCCCCGAATAACATTTAACATTTAATTTCCTTATCAAAAACTACAACAATAGAAAAAGCTACACTACAAAATTAATATAAATGATATATACGCACTATCTAATGTAGTAAAGCTATATATTACACATGTAGCAGCGCAGATACAGGTATTCGTTTACTCAGAGAACCATACTATTTTTTTTGTAATAAGTATATAATTAGTTTTTACCCAGTATCTAATTTTGTTTTTAATGGATTTTGTAATAATTCGTTTATTCCTTATGAGAAGCGGTAATAGATTTAACAATATGGGACCTGTAAAAGAAATATTTCTCTGAGTAAAGGAAAAACTCTGCAGAGAAGAACAGAATCTCGATTCAGTTACTGCCCTGGTTTGTATCGGGTGGTTAACTCTCTCATGAAAGATCCCATACTTTAAAGAAAATTGTATAACTCTTACACAGTAAAGTTGCCTTAAGTTTAGAAATTCTGTTTGAGAAAAAAGAAGATCGGTAGAATACATTTTAGGTTTAAATAACAAAATTTTTAATAAAAATTTTTGAGCCACTTTTAATGGTTGTAAAAGGGATTCACATGCTGAACCCCAGCACAAAATGCCATAATTTAAAATAGATTCCGCTAGTGAAAAATACACCATTTTCGTTAACTTAAAGGTTAAGACATTCCTTAGTTGCGAAAATTTGTACACTAATTTCCTAACTTTTTTGCTGATGTAGTCAACATGTATATCCCATCTTAAGAATCTATCAAAATAGACACCCAAATATTTAATATTGTCACAGGATTGTATTTTTAAATGACAGTTACAATTTAATTGAACGCTACATGAAGAGTTATGTAAGGGAATATACACTTTATTAGGCATGTCCCTTCTGGTCATAGAAAAAGATATAAATTTTGTCTTTTCAATATTTAGAGTCAGTTGATTTATGTCTAACCAGCATTTTATTTTGTGTAAGTCTAGTTCAGCTTTAGTAAAAGCATCAAGCCATGAACTACCAGCGATTAAAAGGGCAGTGTCATCTGCGAAGCACACAATTTTACCATTAACGTTTAAGTTTAAGAGACTATTAACATACACTGAGAAAAGAATCGGGCCAAGCACTGTACCTTGCGGTACGCCAACAACTACTTTTTGAGCTTCACTATAAATAACATCGCTTAACTTAACTTTTTGATATCTGTTCTCCAGGTAAGATTTAAATAAATTATGTACTACTCCACGAATTCCTATGCTTTCTAGACGTTTGAGTAAAATATTGTGATTGACCGTATCAAAGGCTTTTTTTAAGTCTAAAAAAACAGCTACTGGTTTAAGACCCTTATTTATACTATTTGTCACAAATTGGTTAACATTATACAACGCATTATCAGTACTAACCTCTGGTTTAAACCCAAACTGATCCGGAGATATTATTTTATTTTTCTCAAGGAAGTCCCATAACTTTGATTTGATGCACTTTTCTACTATTTTATTAAGCACACTACACAAAGCTATAGGCCTATAGTTATTTATGTCCGTTTTATCCCCACCTTTGTGGATTGGAATGACAATGGAGTATTTAAAAATTTTAGGATAACAACCAGAAGAAAAAATAATATTTTTTTTATTTCATTAGCTATCTCATGTAAGTCTGTGGTAGTTTGACCATTATTTTTTTTAATGATTTTTATGGTATTTTTTTCTTGAAAATCGTTTGAAGCCTCCCTAATGTTTTGCCACATTTTTTTTGAATCACTTAAGTTCTGCATTATTTTATTTTTATAGTAAGAATATTTGGTTTTTTTAATAATCTTAGACAAGCAATCTCTATACTCAGTATATATTTTCACAGCTTGTGGACAATGATTGGATGTCACAACATTTGTTTTTAATTTATTTCTATGACAAATACACTTAACAAGATTTGTAGTGATCCAAGGCTTTAAACATTTATACCTAGTGTGTATTGGAGTTACAGTAGTGCTTTGTTCTAAGTAATATTTAATTTTTTTTGTTATTGATTCAGCTATAATGTCGGGTTCGGTTTCATTTAAAATACTTTGCCATGACTCATCATTCAAAAGATTATGTAACATATTAAAGTTTGTGTTTCGACGGAACTTATTAACTTTCTCAGCATCGCCATGCTTCAAATCGATACTTAATATTACTGGAAAATGATCAGTTATGTCACTGTTGATAACGGCCGCATTACATAATTTTAAGGTTTTCACAAAAAAATGATCTAAACACGAATCCTTTCTAGTGGGTATCGTAATGTACGGAAAATAGCCCAATCCTGCCAAGCAATTAAGATAATTTGAAGCATATTCTTTTTTGTCCAATAAATTAATATTAGTGTCCCCTGAAAAAATCTCGATGGTGCAGGGAGAAAAATGACTCTGTGTGAATAAACTCAAAATTATATCGGAATATATTCTTTCATTGAGGCTAGGCAGTCTATAATGTCCCGTCAGGCCGATTTTTGTATTATTTTTTAATAGCTCAATACGTAGGAATTTATGATTTTGAATATCTATCACTTTATGTTGCAGAACTAAATTAGTTTTTACATAAATAATAGTACCATCACACCAGTTTATAGTACTTCCATTGTAGAAAATGGAGTAAGATTCAATACCAAAATCAGCGCAATTTTCGACTACGTGAGTTTCGGACATGATTATCGCATCATAGACTACCTCCAATGAACGTAAAAATAACAGGAAATCATCGAAATTGGTTTTAATCCCTCTAATATTAACATGAATTACATTTAAGCTATATTTTTTATCCAAAGTGAATTCAGTTACGTCGTTAACAGTATAACAAATTTTATTAGAACTTGTATGATAGTTGTCTAAAAGATTATTGTGATCGTCTTTAGAATACATAAAGAAGCTGAAAGATATCTATTTATAGGAGAAATATACAATATTTAAGAAGAGTTATATTCTCGGAAGCACCTATTGTTCCCTTTCTGAAAGGATTTTTTCTAGGTGTAGTGAGTTACGCACTTTAATAATTTTGCCACCCTCTGTTTTACGTAACAGCACTGATCCATTTTGGTACCAGACATATTTATAACCCTGATCTTTACATTTTTTTGCCTCTTTTAATAAGCTGTAAGTTAAATCGGACAAAAATTCATTTATATAGATTTTAGTATTTGACGTATTTATTCCGCACGATTGGTACTCAATACATCAATTTGGCGACGTTTATTAAGTATATTTTTTACCATTTCAGATCTACTAAGTGAGACAGAAACAATAGGTGCTCTGTTATTTACCGAAATTGCCTTAATGTTTATTAAATTTTCCCTAACAATCGACCTATCTACAAAATTCAACACTTTTAGGGATTTATCAAACAATGCCTCCTCGCTATCTTCTTTATTAAAAGCCCCGTTTATGGTAAGTTTCGTACTTACTTTTTCGGCTTCCATTTCCATCAATTTCGATTGGACTACTGCCATTTCCTCCCTCAGTTTTTTGTTTTCGTGTCTGGTTTCCTCGATCATGTCACTCATAACCTTATTTAATTGACGTTGATCTTCATACATCCCATTTAAAAATTCAAGAGAGGTTTTCATCTCAATCATGTCACTATGGACCACTGATACTTCGGTTTTTAACTCTAGTAGAAGAGAGTAAATTGAATCCAAATCCTTTCCTACAGGAACGGGGGAGTTGTGTCGATTTATGCCTAAAGACGATGCCCTTCTGTCGTTCAGGTCATTCATCGTAAGCCTTTTGCATTTTCTACAAGTCCAGGGTTTTTTCTGCTCGACTAGAAAACGCTCTTCCACCTCAGTAATTTTGGTGCATGAATTTGAGTGGTACCATTTCTTACACTCTACACATTGTAAGTTAGGGCACTGCTTAACAATCCTAGAATTGCATTCGCCACAGTAAGCCGATGAACGCGTCATAGGTACCTACTATAGGTAAACAACACCAGCCGACAACACTGTAATGTAACTGTATGTACTCGTAAACTTGTATTGTTGGAATCAACGAAGGGTCAAACCCTGAAGTTTAGCAAACCGCTTTATAGGTAATTAAAAGTATTGTGTGTCGTGTTCCCCGTTTGGGGAAGCGCGCCTATGTTTACAAAAGATCACTCGTGGAATTGGTGCTTCAAGATCAACAAGATTCTGCAAGAAGGAGAAATGCGTAAGTATATATATATATATATATATATATATTTCTTAAGCTTAAATATGTAACCAGTTCTACAACAACTTGAAACTAAATCAAAATGATATACGGAAAATTCATTGTGTTCGCAATACTTTACTGTGAAGTGATGGCGTTAACCGATAAGGATCACTTTGGTTCTGGTAAAATTCACGATTTATGATGGTTAAAATAAGCATTGGGAAGCAAGAGGCATTGAGTCATGTAAAGAGTTTTCCATTGAAGTGTAGATCGATTTTACAACAGAAATTTATCGTTGAGGATAGATAAAAAGGTTCTTTATCTAAAGATACAAATATTTTGCTCTGTAACTTTTTTAGTAAACGTCAATTTTGAAGAAATACCTTTTTTTCGTGAATTAAAACAACTATAAAGTATTGATAAATGTCCGGCAGAGCAAAGTTGTAGTGTATTTAAATATACTCGAAATGAGACCAGTTGCTGTAGAGAAATAAGAAAATATGTGATAGCCTTAACTTAAATCTATCCATCCAGAAAAAGCTCATAAAAAATGTCCAACACTTTCTGAAAATTTAAATGCCACTAAAGGAGAAGGCGCAAAGTTGAAAAAATATGTTTTTCTCATTTATGTGTAACACGCTTGTGAAGCTTAATTAAAGCTTGTTTTTAAAAATGTTTTTTTATTTTATCAAGGGAAAGACTTCGGGAATTATTTTTTCTTCAAAACGAGAGAATACAGTTTTTTCGAAAAGTGGTATACTCGAGAACGAAAAGGAAACCCCTCTCACAAACGGACATTTGATCCCATTGCCTCTGCATGCTCTGGAAGTCTATTATTCCCAGGTGTAAAGAGTAGCTTAGGTCTCTCGAGCACGCACACCTCGCGTCACATTTTACTTTTCATTTTCGATTATAGGTCTGCACCTAATCAATTCCAACAAATATTAGCAAAATGTTCAAAAAGGTTATTAACAATTTATAAAAAAGAATGAATTTCCAAAAATCTACTAGGGTTGTCTTAAAAATAAGGTTCCCACATTTTTTTCAGGCACACGGAATTTTTTATTTGAAAAATGCATTTACCATTGGAAACGTTGATCACATATCGCACATATTTTCTCTCCTTCAGATGTCTACTGTTCTGTGTCAGCGCTCTATTTTGAGGTTATGTTTTCTTTTTGAGTTCCTATAAATTTCAGGCTGATAAAACTTGATTTTTATCATCTGTTTTATCAGTCTGAAATTTCTTAACATCCAAAACGAAAACATAACCTCACAATACGAGAGCGCTGACGCTGACACGGAACCGTAGAAAGTTAGAAATACCAAAGCCTTTCTCAAGGAAATAAAAGACTATGAAAATCAAGAAGATAATAAAGGCGTCCTACAATAGTAGGAACGACTGACGATATGGCCCTAACACAGCATCTTTTCGAATTGACAAAATCGGCACGTGCGTATCCTGTCATATTCAAAAAGATGCCGGGTTAACATGGGCGTATGATGTGTCTTCCTTTCGGGTTCCCGAGTATAGTAACCTACTTTCTATTGGTTATTGTACTCCCTTATTTCCAAGAATTGATCTCCAATTCTTATTGGAAAACCCTTATCAATTTCTCTATATTAGATAGTCAAAATGTATCGTGATCTATTCAGATATAACGATTTCAGACCTCAGTCGGATGAAGCGGTCACCCACACTTCTAGGAAAGAGACACCATGGGGGATTGCTCCTTGGAGGTGGTTTGCTGGGACATGGGGGTGTTGGACCATCCGGAGGGGGTGGGGGTCAATATGTAACAAATATAAACAATTACGGTCCCTCACACGCAGGGGTAGCATCCCACCCTGAAGTTGATCATCACGTTAACTATGGACATGGACAGGGTAAGGGTAGTTCTCGATTTTTTGATTCAGTTACAGGGTTTTTTTGAGTATAGAACTTCAAAATAAAATAAAGCCGTTTTAACGGTCTTACAGAATGCTCTCAGAGAAATTGATCGGTAGATTCAGCACGTTAAAATATGGAAAAAGGGTCACATAAACATAGGTCCCAAAAAGCTTCGTTTGTTTACACCAAAGCAGTCGCGCAGGCAGAAGCCTAAATGCCAGGTCACTGAGACTGCTATGAGGATCCCAAAGAAACTATGTTTATCCGATTCTTAAAATGCACAAGGTCAGTAGAACTGGGAAAAGCCTTATCTTGTAGATTGTTTCACGATCTCGACACCCTAGCGACAAAGGAGCGGTCGTATCGGCCAGTTCTGGATGTACGAAGTTCGACACGGTTAAGATGGGAGGCGGAACCCTGGCGGGTTTGTCTGGCAGGCACATCGCGTGGCGGCATCATGTAAGCGTGCTTTCCGGAGTAAAGCCCATTGGTGTATCGGTAGAAGAGAGCTAGATCACCGACGACCCGCCGGTGCGAAAGGGTTCTGAGACTGTTTGTTAGAGAAGAGTCATAGATCAGTCGGACAGCCGTCCTCTGAACAGAATCGAGCACGGATAATGTAATCGGGGCGGCAGCGCCACAAGCATGTGAGCAATACTCCAGGCTAGTTATTATCTGGACTTTGTTTAGAGTGAGGAGGTCAAGACCCATCTCTAGGGAACACCCGCGTTGACGTTGTGATATGTTGCGGTCCGAGAGAGTGCCAGCCATCCATCTGCAAAGCTTCAAATGCGACAAAGGCGGTGTTGTCGAGTCATTAAAAACCCAAACCCTCCCATTAACCTCCCATCATTTATGTTTTTCGATTTGACCAGTATCTCAGAGGATCGATCGATCGTAAGTGGTAATTATGTTACATCGAGAAATTCATATTTTTGCTTTTCTAGTAACGGCAAGAAATTACAGTTTGAAAATTTTCTGTAATACGAAACCATCAACTTGATTGAGAGATTTTTCAAATGTGGTTTGCAAAGTGATGAGCCAGTCTACTTGACTGCATTTTTTCAGGAGGGGGAAGTTTTGCAGCGAGTGGGGCAGCTGCTGGGAGCCATGGACAAGCTCAAAGTCAATCAGCAGCCTTTTCTTTGGGGCCTTATTCGGCCTCCTTCTCACAAAGCCAGGCACAGGGGGGAAGAAGGGGCATTTTCGATTTGTAAGTACTGATAAAATGCAAGAATCTATTAATTTTGCTAAATCCCTATCTCTATTCTTGCAGAGTATATACAGTAGTTCTTCTCCCTTTCTGAAAAAGTTGTTCTAGGGTTTGCATTGTAATCTTCAACTTTCTTATGAGAAAATATTCAGTGATCGTTTTCTGGGTCAATCCGACGCGTAGATTCTGAATTTTTTGTTGCTAGGACCCACATATGGCCCCAAGCCACCCATTTTGTATTTCAAATTCAGCGTTGCGTTTTTTGATGGTCGCTTTCTCCCCAAATTTCATTTCATGCGCGTGTAACAGCGGAAGACAAAAATAGACATTTTGATTTGACAAATTCTATATTTTATTATATATATTAGAATCCCATTCAAGTCATTTTCCACCTTAAACTCGCCCACTGAAAATTTGTGAAATATACGCCCCAAATTATCTAAATGTACCTTAATGTTAATAATGTGTTGAAGCTCCTCTGTTCGCTACACATGCGTTAAGTCGTCGCGACAATGAGTGGATTAGGTGATTGGTTTCTGGGTGTATTGTATCCCAGGCTATCTGAATTTGGTGTCGTAGAGCCGCCAATATTTGTGGAGGTGAATTTTGCAACCTTCTTCCCATCATGTCCCATACATGTTCGATGGGGGAAAGGTCCGGAGATTGAGGAGGCTACTAAAGCAGATTTACTCCAAAGGCTCCTAAAAAGAATAAAATAACACGTGCGACATGAGGTCGTGCATTGTCCTGCTGAAAAAGTGGATCTTGCAATGTTTCCAAAAAGGGAAGCAGATGTGGTTGTAAAACTTCGTGGATATAGCGCTGGGCAGTCATGCTACCTCGAATGAACACTAATCATGACCTGCTGCCATAAGCAATGCCACCCCATACCATAACACCCACAGTGCGATGAATACGTCTTTCGATGGTCTTTCACCACGTCTGCTCCTTACTCTTGCACGGCCATCATGTGGGCCCAAACAGAATCTGGACTCATCGCTGACGGCTAAGTTCCATTCCATATTCCATTCAAGTCTCTCCCTACTTCACACCAATCGTTGCCGCCGATGCTGTGGAGACGGTATGAAAACAGTTCAAAAGACCCTATTCGGCGATAAAATGTCCTTCCTCATTATTGTTGCCCTTCCGACAGCATCAAGCCACTGGTTCGCAACTGATCTTGTTGTGGAAACTCGATCTCTAAATGCTAGATGCCTCAAATAACGATCCTGTCTTTCTGTAGTCCATCTTTGATATACAGTACCTCTAAACCGTCGATTTCGGCCTTCTTGGAATTGCGCTTGACAACGTCTCATTACAGTAGCTCCGTTTCGATTCACCCGATTAGCGATTTTTTTAAAAGAAAATCTGGCTTCACGTAACCCGAATATGATTATCTGACCCCCTCTCAAACTCGGAAAGTTGAGTAAAATTAGAGCGTCTGCAAACTCTAGGCATGATAATGCAATGAAACAACAATGAAAAAAATGGAACAACACAGAAAAATCACTGAATATTAAGTAAACATGTTCATATTGCCCATTTCTTGATATGACAAAAAAAGCCTTTATAAAAAATTACGGCTCGGGAAGCCATCAACATTTTATTAGCGTATGATAGCAAATACGTTTACAAGTTTTTATCAAAATTCAATAAACAACTCTGGGTGTTGCATTTTATATGTCACAGTATATTATTATCATGGAAAATTTCTACCTACCTATATAATGTTATAAAAAATCGATGTCGCTTTTTGAGTGACGTAATACGGGTGCTGTATACATGGTTACTAGCGGGTGATTCAAACTGAGTTTCCACATTACAAATAATTTCTTTTTTGGAACGCCACGAATTTGTCAACGACAACGTGACATTTCTAACGTCAAAATATAAACACAACAGTCATGGAGCACTATACGACCGAACAACCTGTTAAGATTATCCAAGCCTATTATGAAAACGGCCGATCAAGGAAAAATAGATTTCGTGCTTAACATGAATTTTTTGGCGCACAAAATCGGCTTTGTGAGAGTACAATTTGGAATTTGGTGCAAAAATTCGAGCAAAACTGGATCCGTCGCCTAACATCAAAATCCCTAGGCACACACAGCGGATTTTAACAAAAGATTTGCAGTTACACCCATACAGAGTCAAAATAACACATGAATTAAAGTCACACACACACATTGGGGGGCTTCGTAAACATTCAAAATTGCCGTATTTGGGTATTGGAAAATCCAAGACAGATTGTTGAAGTGAAAATGCATCCCCAAGAGGTGACTGTTTGGTGTGCCTTTTGGTCCGTAGGCGTTATTGGTCTATTTTTTTCCGAGGATCATGCGGAGAACGCTGCTACGGTTAATGGCATTCGCTATCGGAACATGATAACACAGTTTTTCTGGGAACAGTTGGAAGATATGGACTTCGAAGATCTCTGGTTTTAACAGGACGGTGCCACCTGTATAACACATCAGGAGAAACGATACAATTACTGCGCGGCAGGTTTTCAGGTCGCGTTATTTCACGTAATCAATTGGCCACCGCGATCCTGTGATTTAACTCCCTTAAATTATTTTATTTGGGGGTATCTCAAGAGCAAAGTCTACAAGAATAACCCGAACACCATTTTGGAGCTGAAACAGGAGATCAGACGCGAAATTACCAACATAGTGCCTGATTTGTGCCACAGAGTAGTCGCAAATTTCTCGAAACGGATTACGTCATGCCACATGATCCTCAGCGATCATTTTCTTGCATAATTGTAATGAACTACCCTCAAAGGGCAAATAAATATTTTTTTTCTAATTTTCAATTTCTTCTTTTTTTGACACATTAGCTGCCACCAATGTATTTTCCATTCCATCGCCGCGTGGTCTGCCGATGAACCACGTTTTCATGGATTCTTAATGCACTATAACTTTTTCTGGCCTGGTACGAATTCCCTGTTTAATAACATTCAATAAAGAAAAAGAGTGACTTGAGAACATCTTATTTATTAGGTGAAACGAAATATAAACGATTTTCAACATGCAGTTACATAACGTTTTAGACAAATGTTTGGTTTACTTTCACAAGTAACACAAATCGTTGTGACTTTTTTCGCCTGATCCCTAGCTTCCTCTAAATTCTTCATAACAATGCATGCATCGCCTTCGCACTTTTCTGCCACGATCATCTTTTTCCATAGTCTGTTCTAGTTGATGTTTTTGCTTATTGGAATTTCCTGGTAAAGTATCAGTCTGTGTGTTACTGATTTCAAGCAAAGATTCACATAAATGTTCTCTAAAATGTACTATTGACATTGTGGTGTTGCGAGAAATTATTTTAGGTATTCTAAAAGCATTAACCACTGACGTTCCTAAAAGTAATTCCGTGGCAACTTTATGATACCACCTAAGTGATTTCCTAACTGGGGTGGCATAACTGGAAAGTTGATCTGATAAATCGATTCCGCTCTTTCCGTTATTGTAATCAATTATAAACTTAGGCTCAGCTATACTTTCTTTTTTTCTATTTTGTTTGCCGGTAGAAACTATATCCAAATTATGCTAAGTAGATATTCCATACACATCTCTTTGATCTTTCCATTTGATTACTACAACATCATTACTTTCCTTTCCTACAATTTCGGCTTTCTTCAACTTCGCTGTTATTACTTCCTTCGGGAAACCTTTTCCGTTCTTACGAATGGTACCAATAAGATCAGTTCTTCTTGCTACTAATTCCTCAGCTAATTCTATGCTAGAATAAAGGTTATCTGTAACTACAGTGCGGCCGCAGTCTAAATAATTTTCACAGAGGCGAAGTACTACTGCTTCGGATAAATTTTTTCCACTAGAAGACTTTCCTTCATGAATTTCGATTTTATATGTATAGGCATTCCTACTACAGATCTTAAAAAGTTTTACACCGTATTTATGGCGTTTTTCGGGGAGGTATTGGAAAGGAATCATTGTTTCGTCGACTGCTATATAAAGATCTGGTTCCTTCATTTGCTGGAATCTTAAATTCAACTTGTCCAAAAGACCTCTGATTTTGAACAGTCTATCTGCATCTTTATTTTGTGAATCATCTGCAAAATGCCAAAATCTCAAAAGGAGCTCAAAACGGTTGCGAATCATGGTACGGTTGGCTACATCGGCTTTGTAAATTGTTTTTTTTGCTCCAGTAATCTGATATACACGGTAGTCTAATCAAACCCATCCACAGCAGGAATCCAAGAAATTTTTTCATTTCGTTGTTGTCCGTATTTGACCATTTTGTCATACGGCTATGTCGACCAATGAGAGAATTGCTCGGAACATGGTTAGCATTCCGATTAGTTTCAGTGACCATTAAGTCAATTATAGAATCATCGACAAACAGCATGAAGCATTCCAATGGAGTATATAAATGCACTGCTTTCGGCGGTACTTTAAGTCCAGGATTTCCAGTAAAATTAAAACGTTTATCCCCGTTTCCTAAAACTGCTTTACAAATCGATTGCTGCTTCTGTATTAACGGTTGACCGTTGCTTGCAATTTCATCACTTTCATCGCTTTCTGAGTCACTACTGGATGGACTGCTAAACGTTTCATTGCTATCAGAACAACTGATATCGGATACTTCATCTTCTGAATATTCAGCAGATGTTCCTGCCATATCCATGATCCTAGATAACAACGTCAGCTCTAGTAAAATTGTCTTGTTTAATAAAAAATGTTCTTACCTTTGTAGATAACCTTAAATCAGTGTAAATATTTAGAGCTCGACACGTGGTCAACTTAAAACGTATTCTTGGCACGCCACGTGGTACGCTGATAACCCACGACACGTTTTCTAAAGGACGGCCTGTAGGTGAATGCATTGGAATTAATAAGTGGCGTGGAAAGTTAAAACAAACGTGGGTCAACGGCGGACCACGTGGCGGTTAAGGTGTTAAATACTTTTAATGTGGAAACTCAATTTGAATCACCCATTACTTTGTCAACAGCGAAAATACTTTGTAGTTTTCGAAAATCGATCTAGTCGCGGCGGAGGTACCTAACATTGGGGTTGGGGGTCGTAAACGTTGTACCATCCGTGACAGACGTTCTATGATTAAGAATTTTCTGATCTCCGTAATATTATGTAACTAGTAAGTTAAGTGTTGAGACTGATTTTTTTATTCAAATATAATTACAATTTTATATTATCACCCTCAAAATGACTTCCTTCTGAAGGCACACAGCGCTGGAGACGGTTCTTCCACCCTCCCATAACAGTTCTGAAACCCCGATACTAGAATAACATTCAGTTGGTCGGTTAGAGCCGTTTGAACGTTTTCGACTGTCTCTTGAGGTGATATTTCAACTTCGGGAAGAAAAAACAGTCACAAAGACTCAAGTCCGCCAAATATGGAGGCTGAGGCGAAACAGAAACGTTTTTACTGGCCAAAAACTCGTTTATTGACATTGATATCCATAGTTTCGTCGGGTCTTGAAGGGGAAGGCCTTCCGCTTGCAGGTTATTGTTCAATCGACTCTCTTCCTTCTGAAAATGGCTTTAACCACATAAAATCCTCAAGAGAGAAAACACTATCTCCGTAGGCCTGCTGAAGTTTAGCAAAAGCTCCCGTTGCACTGTGCTCAAGTCTGAACCAAAATTTGGTAGCTCACCGTTGCTCAAAATTGATGTCACTCACTTTTAGAACAGAATAGAAAAAACTTTTTCACAAATAAAAAATTGGACAACTAAGTGACTCGAGCGAGTCCAAATCAAACTTGTACTGCAGGCGGATCATATGGTGCCCTGTCTTCCCACCAAGCCCAGCGCCTCCAGTGTTGCCAGATTGAACGCTACGTTTCCAGTCTCATCAATCTACTCGTCTATTCAAAAGACTCGGATGGAATACAAACTTAACTGGGTATGTTTAGTCAGAATGAATTTTTGCTTGCACTTTACCCATATTTGTACCTACGGCAAAAAATAACCATATTTCTATTTCAGGGCAAAAAGTTATGGTAAGTTGTTTACCGAAATAGTGCAGTAAGTGGCGCCCTCTAGAAGTTTGGCCATAACAAATAATGGATTCTTGTTTCTCATACTACCCTATACCGAGTTTTATGCCAAAATCTGAAATACTTCTCAAAAAATAAGCAAAAATAGAAAATAAAATTGTAACTTTGACACCGTGTATCTTGCAAACTATCAACTTTTGGACTAAAGTATGTTTAGGTCAATTCACATATTTCGGTCTGTAGTATCTCCAGTTTCGAGATTTCCCAACCTTTCGCAGACAGGTTGCCCTGAGATATGGTTATTTATTGCCGTAGGTACAAATATGAGTAAGGTGCAAGCAAAAATTCATTCTGAGTAAACATACCCAGTTCAGTTTGTATTTGGCTCATTCTTTTTTGTTGCCCGAGTTTTTGAATCATACTTCCCATGGCGTTAGGTTTGGAAACAAACCGAACATAATCTAATTGTTAGAATTGCGTGCGAAGTACAGAGTCGATCTACTTGACGCCATTGTGTAATGTGAATAAAAATAACCGTGGATTTTTATGTTTTAGGTTCGATTAGGGACACAACACTGTGAAGCAAAACTATAAGACTGTATTTTATTCAATAAGCTCACTGGTAACAACTTAAGATGTTTTTGGTATAATAAACATTTAACAAAAAATGTTTTATCATTCGTTCCCTGAACCTTATTATACCTACTTGAATAATATTGACTACCCAAAAAGTCTGTGAACGTCTGTTGCCTCACGCATTTTTTCAAGTAACGCATATCACCATTTTCAAGTAGCGCATATCACCATCCTGATGCTTAAAATAACATGATTGTACTTCCAGTGATCAAAAACTCTTGTTTTCCAGTATTTTATTTACTAACTATAAAATAAATTCATGCGTAGATAGTGAATTAGTGAATCAATCTACGTGATTCAATTTTACTCATATATTGAAAGAAAACACGGATTCAACACTATCAATATCATTTTATTTACAACGTACAAGCATCATTTCATAATTTTAAACGAGATAAATGAACTAGATATGTATCACGTATTGGGCTAATCACATTTTTTAGCTAAATATACAAATATTATTTTTGTTCTTATATATTTATCCACACTCTAGATCACCTTATATATTTTGAATTCTCTATTTTAATATTATGTTGCATCGTAAATATAAAAATAATTAAATTTTTGTATACATATTATGTGAATATTATTTATCCTAGAATACCTAATCATTTTTATGATTTATTTTAATACTTGATAATTACGAAGAATGTTATAAAATACTTTAAAATGTTATGTACATATTTTGAGGTCATAATAATAGAATTATGCCGATTGAGAAGACGTACCTAAACTTTTGGCACTACAATTTGAGACGGAAAGAAAAACCGAAATCTCAATTTGAAAAAATAATTAGATATTTAAAATTGCTAACTTTAGTATCCTTAAGGTAAAAATCAAAACTTGGCCCCATTATGAGCTTAGCAAATTTTTAGACGGCATTTTTAAGTTTCTTACGTTGCATACAATTCATTTAAAGTTTAGTGCACGAAATATCTAACTCAATTTTCGAAAATCTCATCTTTTATAAGTGAAAGTCGCATGTGAACCTTCTTAATCTACAAGAACTACTCATGCTAGAATGCAAGACACCATCATTCCCATAGACTGCAAAACTCTTTCAAGTTGTCAAAGAACATAATCGTCTTTTTGCCCAATATTGATGAAATACCCTGTATGCACCACTAAATCAACAATATGAGTTCTAGAATTGTCATCCAATAAGTTGTCTTACATCATTGACATATTCTGGTGAAGTGGATTTTGAGGCTTGATTTAAAATCACTTCTTTTAGTGTGTATGCAAATTTATGGCTATATTTGCTTTGACATTTTCACACATATTTTCTGATTATGTCTGATTATTTATGGTTTTATATTTGTAGTTTGAATAGTGGAGGAACTAAATGTTGGATTTTAACGAGGGGCAGTCCTCAAAATAAAAAAGTGAAGGTTGACGGTAAGCAGTAGGTACTCACAAAAACCCTCCTTGTCTTAAAAAAAAACCGTTAATAACACAATTAACTATACGATACTCTTATTTACCAGCTCATCAATCTCATTTCTTTTACAAAACTAAAAAACATCGATTCATAGATACGTTGAAGTTTATCTCTAGGATGTTTGCATCCCTAAATAGAAATAATTGACGAATCGGCGATTCCCCGGTTTTATCGGGCGCGGTATAGTTTTTTTCAAGTTGGCGGCACTGGATTCCATTTCTTATGAACCTAGGATTACCAAATGGCCACAAAATAGGATGCTTTTATAACTTTCTTGGGACAGCCCCCTTAGACACCTAAATAGGCCATTGCCTAAACATAGGTCATAAAAGGTTCCATTAATCAATATCTCCAGATTTCTACGCTACTGATGAAACTTTCATACCGCAGCAGTGAGACGAGAACATGCTACTTAAAATCTTGTCGAACTATGTTAGCTTCAGGATATTTTCAAACTTGAAAGGATTTGAGTTTTTTAAACGGATTACGCCTCAAATATTCAAACCATTTTTCACCAAAAGGAATTGTTTGACAAAAAATTTCTCAAGAGAGACGACATGTAGAATAAAATACCTTGTTTCGTAAATAACAACTTGAGAGAAAGGAAGATTCAAGCACCTTGAAAGAACAAGGGAACAGTGGCATGAGTACGATTGAATTTGCCTCTAACAGTCTCTTTGATCTTTCCATTTGATTACTACAACATCATTACTTTCCTTTCCTACAATTTCGGCTTTCTTCAACTTCGCTGTTATTACTTCCTTCGGGAAACCTTTTCCGTTCTTACGAATGGTACCAATAAGATCAGTTCTTCTTGCTACTAATTCCTCAGCTAATTCTATGCTAGAATAAAGGTTATCTGTAACTACAGTGCGGCCGCAGTCTAAATAATTTTCACAGAGGCGAAGTACTACTGCTTCGGATAAATTTTTTCCACTAGAAGACTTTCCTTCATGAATTTCGATTTTATATGTATAGGCATTCCTACTACAGATCTTAAAAAGTTTTACACCGTATTTATGGCGTTTTTCGGGGAGGTATTGGAAAGGAATCATTGTTTCGTCGACTGCTATATAAAGATCTGGTTCCTTCATTTGCTGGAATCTTAAATTCAACTTGTCCAAAAGACCTCTGATTTTGAACAGTCTATCTGCATCTTTATTTTGTGAATCATCTGCAAAATGCCAAAATCTCAAAAGGAGCTCAAAACGGTTGCGAATCATGGTACGGTTGGCTACATCGGCTTTGTAAATTGTTTTTTTTGCTCCAGTAATCTGATATACACGGTAGTCTAATCAAACCCATCCACAGCAGGAATCCAAGAAATTTTTTCATTTCGTTGTTGTCCGTATTTGACCATTTTGTCATACGGCTATGTCGACCAATGAGAGAATTGCTCGGAACATGGTTAGCATTCCGATTAGTTTCAGTGACCATTAAGTCAATTATAGAATCATCGACAAACAGCATGAAGCATTCCAATGGAGTATATAAATGCACTGCTTTCGGCGGTACTTTAAGTCCAGGATTTCCAGTAAAATTAAAACGTTTATCCCCGTTTCCTAAAACTGCTTTACAAATCGATTGCTGCTTCTGTATTAACGGTTGACCGTTGCTTGCAATTTCATCACTTTCATCGCTTTCTGAGTCACTACTGGATGGACTGCTAAACGTTTCATTGCTATCAGAACAACTGATATCGGATACTTCATCTTCTGAATATTCAGCAGATGTTCCTGCCATATCCATGATCCTAGATAACAACGTCAGCTCTAGTAAAATTGTCTTGTTTAATAAAAAATGTTCTTACCTTTGTAGATAACCTTAAATCAGTGTAAATATTTAGAGCTCGACACGTGGTCAACTTAAAACGTATTCTTGGCACGCCACGTGGTACGCTGATAACCCACGACACGTTTTCTAAAGGACGGCCTGTAGGTGAATGCATTGGAATTAATAAGTGGCGTGGAAAGTTAAAACAAACGTGGGTCAACGGCGGACCACGTGGCGGTTAAGGCAGTAAGTGGCGCCCTCTAGAAGTTTGGCCATAACAAATAATGGATTCTTGTTTCTCATACTACCCTATACCGAGTTTTATGCCAAAATCTGAAATACTTCTCAAAAAATAAGCAAAAATAGAAAATAAAATTGTAACTTTGACACCGTGTATCTTGCAAACTATCAACTTTTGGACTAAAGTATGTTTAGGTCAATTCACATATTTCGGTCTGTAGTATCTCCAGTTTCGAGATTTCCCAACCTTTCGCAGACAGGTTGCCCTGAGATATGGTTATTTATTGCCGTAGGTACAAATATGAGTAAGGTGCAAGCAAAAATTCATTCTGAGTAAACATACCCAGTTCAGTTTGTATTTGGCTCATTCTTTTTTGTTGCCCGAGTTTTTGAATCATACTTCCCATGGCGTTAGGTTTGGAAACAAACCGAACATAATCTAATTGTTAGAATTGCGTGCGAAGTACAGAGTCGATCTACTTGACGCCATTGTGTAATGTGAATAAAAATAACCGTGGATTTTTATGTTTTAGGTTCGATTAGGGACACAACACTGTGAAGCAAAACTATAAGACTGTATTTTATTCAATAAGCTCACTGGTAACAACTTAAGATGTTTTTGGTATAATAAACATTTAACAAAAAATGTTTTATCATTCGTTCCCTGAACCTTATTATACCTACTTGAATAATATTGACTACCCAAAAAGTCTGTGAACGTCTGTTGCCTCACGCATTTTTTCAAGTAACGCATATCACCATTTTCAAGTAGCGCATATCACCATCCTGATGCTTAAAATAACATGATTGTACTTCCAGTGATCAAAAACTCTTGTTTTCCAGTATTTTATTTACTAACTATAAAATAAATTCATGCGTAGATAGTGAATTAGTGAATCAATCTACGTGATTCAATTTTACTCATATATTGAAAGAAAACACGGATTCAACACTATCAATATCATTTTATTTACAACGTACAAGCATCATTTCATAATTTTAAACGAGATAAATGAACTAGATATGTATCACGTATTGGGCTAATCACATTTTTTAGCTAAATATACAAATATTATTTTTGTTCTTATATATTTATCCACACTCTAGATCACCTTATATATTTTGAATTCTCTATTTTAATATTATGTTGCATCGTAAATATAAAAATAATTAAATTTTTGTATACATATTATGTGAATATTATTTATCCTAGAATACCTAATCATTTTTATGATTTATTTTAATACTTGATAATTACGAAGAATGTTATAAAATACTTTAAAATGTTATGTACATATTTTGAGGTCATAATAATAGAATTATGCCGATTGAGAAGACGTACCTAAACTTTTGGCACTACAATTTGAGACGGAAAGAAAAACCGAAATCTCAATTTGAAAAAATAATTAGATATTTAAAATTGCTAACTTTAGTATCCTTAAGGTAAAAATCAAAACTTGGCCCCATTATGAGCTTAGCAAATTTTTAGACGGCATTTTTAAGTTTCTTACGTTGCATACAATTCATTTAAAGTTTAGTGCACGAAATATCTAACTCAATTTTCGAAAATCTCATCTTTTATAAGTGAAAGTCGCATGTGAACCTTCTTAATCTACAAGAACTACTCATGCTAGAATGCAAGACACCATCATTCCCATAGACTGCAAAACTCTTTCAAGTTGTCAAAGAACATAATCGTCTTTTTGCCCAATATTGATGAAATACCCTGTATGCACCACTAAATCAACAATATGAGTTCTAGAATTGTCATCCAATAAGTTGTCTTACATCATTGACATATTCTGGTGAAGTGGATTTTGAGGCTTGATTTAAAATCACTTCTTTTAGTGTGTATGCAAATTTATGGCTATATTTGCTTTGACATTTTCACACATATTTTCTGATTATGTCTGATTATTTATGGTTTTATATTTGTAGTTTGAATAGTGGAGGAACTAAATGTTGGATTTTAACGAGGGGCAGTCCTCAAAATAAAAAAGTGAAGGTTGACGGTAAGCAGTAGGTACTCACAAAAACCCTCCTTGTCTTAAAAAAAAACCGTTAATAACACAATTAACTATACGATACTCTTATTTACCAGCTCATCAATCTCATTTCTTTTACAAAACTAAAAAACATCGATTCATAGATACGTTGAAGTTTATCTCTAGGATGTTTGCATCCCTAAATAGAAATAATTGACGAATCGGCGATTCCCCGGTTTTATCGGGCGCGGTATAGTTTTTTTCAAGTTGGCGGCACTGGATTCCATTTCTTATGAACCTAGGATTACCAAATGGCCACAAAATAGGATGCTTTTATAACTTTCTTGGGACAGCCCCCTTAGACACCTAAATAGGCCATTGCCTAAACATAGGTCATAAAAGGTTCCATTAATCAATATCTCCAGATTTCTACGCTACTGATGAAACTTTCATACCGCAGCAGTGAGACGAGAACATGCTACTTAAAATCTTGTCGAACTATGTTAGCTTCAGGATATTTTCAAACTTGAAAGGATTTGAGTTTTTTAAACGGATTACGCCTCAAATATTCAAACCATTTTTCACCAAAAGGAATTGTTTGACAAAAAATTTCTCAAGAGAGACGACATGTAGAATAAAATACCTTGTTTCGTAAATAACAACTTGAGAGAAAGGAAGATTCAAGCACCTTGAAAGAACAAGGGAACAGTGGCATGAGTACGATTGAATTTGCCTCTAACAGTCTATCCTTATCTGATAATTCAATATATCTTTGAAAAAAGTCAGTAGGGTAGAAAATATTTCAGTTTTCCATTCTATATGAGTCAAACTATACCAGCTTCTACGCCAGAGTACTTGTTACAGCCACAATTTGTTTGCACCACGGAGATATATTTCTTCTAGATTTTGATCCGGGAATGAATCTTGAAATTAGAGGCATTCCGGCCACCATAAGAAGCCAGTGCATAGGCCGCTTAAGCGGGCCCTTATGCACCTCTACATTCCCTAGATCACAAGCCTCGCCCTTTTCCGTCGTTGACAATTCTTTGAAGAATAAACATTTTTTTGGAACATTCATTGTTCAAACATTAATTATGATTGGAAGTGATTGTTTAATGACATCAACATAGCTATGTGTGCATAGCTTGTACTATTATACCCTATTTCACGAGTATCCATCACGGCTGAATGTCAGCTGGTTATCTGGTAATACCTCAAAATTCCCCATATCGGCACAGAACACATAATTCTAACTAATCCGTCAACGCCAGGTAGACAGAGCCGTACTTTGTTTCGGTTTTTTGTATGCTACAGATTTATTTTGTACTTGGTAACAACTATTTTATTTAGAAAAATTCATTTGAATTCAAAATACAAAATGCCACGAGTTTTACTAGTCAGGATAACACAAAAATGTCACTTGATGATCAGTCAGTCGACGTCAAATCGTGCTGGATACTCGTGAAATAGGGTTTAAGATGTAGGTTTGAGTAAGTGATATAACCTAACTTTTCTAATCATCCAAAATCCTTATTTCGAATATTTTTGTCAATTTAGAAATAGTTTCTGTATAAGAAAATGACAAGATGTATCGTAATATAGGTAATAATATGTCTAAAATTGAAAGCCGCATTTACCTTCGACAATATGTATTTGCATTTATTTTTTTCTCTTCATTCTATTATAATGTTCGAGTTTACTCCCCATGTGTGCTTTGGAAATTTTCTTATCTTTTTCAGTTAAGATATTTCGTGGACCCATATTGATCTTGTTTACGCTTTCATTAAGGCTGGCACGGACACTCATGCAAATCGTTCGTTTTGCTTGTGCAGTTTTAAATTGTCAAGCAAGACAGAGATATTCGGTTGTCATATATAACAAATACACTTTGGTTATCCGACAGACGTAGTTTTCCCTATCCAGGGAAAAAATATATCTCGAGCTATTCACTGTCTGAATACACAGCAGATTTTATTTCGTTTTCCATACGCCTTATTTCATCAGTAATCTCTAGTTTGTGATACTCACTCTCATCACGTCTCTTTCTCCGCTTAATTACAAAAGAAATCACAGCTAAAACCGATAAAATTATAACGAATAAATACATAATAGTAAATAATCTATAGTACCATTTTTCAGATAATACGTCAGAAATCAGACTAACGGGGTAGCAATATGTCTCTGTCGCGGAAACGTTGTATAATTTTGCGTCACCATAACACCCAGTACATTGGGAATCTAGTGATCCCATACAGTTCCTACAGGTATAATGACAAGCTAAGCAAGTTTGGTTCCTTTCGGGACCAGTAATATCACCAGGGATATCCAATAGGCTATTGTAGAATTTCTCCTTGCATCGCTGTATGCAAGTGTTTTTGTATAGCATTTCGTTCGGGTCACACTCTGTAAGAAAAGTAAAGAAAAAGGGTAAAATCGGTCATTTAGGAAGATATCTTGTATGTTAATTTATTCTACATACAGGGTATCCCAGAAGGACGTCATAATAGTTATCAGAAGAATATAAAAAAAATTAAGTCGTGTACTTTTAAAGTTACAGGCTTTAAAAAAAATAAGAAAAATCTACACCCTGTGATCTTTCAGTAAAAAAAAGAGTGGATTTAAGTCAGGTGAATGGGCTGGCCACGAAATTGTACCAGACCGCCCTATCCATCTGCTCGGGTATTCCTCAACACGATTTTCTGTAACTAAACTAAGTAATCCCAGGGTTGTAGAGATTGAAGTCGCTGTACGAGGTACGTGTGGAGCTGGTTTTTTCGCAAAATTCGGTGGGATGTACTTTTGAGCACTCCCGTGCTTGCCTCTATTTGACGTACTGAAATACTAGGGTCTTCTTGGATTGCTTATAGTACGACGTCCTCGCAAGGAAAAATATTCTTCCTTCATCAGATGCTTGATTGGGGAATCGCGCCTCTGAGAGTAAACGGTGCACTTTCACAAAAACTCGGTGATCGAGATGCATTTGGGTAGCTCTCACGATAAAGCCCAGCTGTATTGCATCTACATTCCCCATAAATGGGGTGCAGTTTATTAATATAAGTGATGTTACACGACTTGGATTTTTGTATATTTTTTCTGACTTGGTCTATCCCCCGTTTCTGGCTTGACGTCGACTCCTGGGACACCCTGTAGAGGAGGCTAAAAAGTCGCATTCGTAAGAGAAAAGACCCTGCAGAGACCTTATCGGGATTTTTTTTTAATCATTCCGATATCACCGCGTAGAACAAACGTGTTCACCGGTCCAAACATTTTCCATGGTTATTAGGTGTTAATAGATATTTATTCACGTTCTTATCATCATATCTACTAGCCAGTTCAGCAACATTGCAATCACATGTCGCCCAAACTTGCATGATTCGATTGTT